CTTGGGGGTCATGACTGACCACAAGATGAACATGAGCGATCAATGCGATGCCGCAGCTGGCAAAGCAAATAAAATCCTGGCTTGCATCTACCAATGTATCTCAGGCAAAACTCAAGATATAATCCTACTGGTTTACTCGGCCTTGGTGAGGCCACAGCTGGAGTACTGCATCCAATTTTGGGCTCCACACTAAAAAAGATGTGGAGAAGCTTGAAAGAGGCCAGAGGAGAGCCATGCACATGATCAGAGGTCAAGAGAGCAGACCTTATGAGGAGAGGCTGAGAGGCAGCTTGGAGAAGTGTAGGCTCAGGGGGGACTTGGTGGCAGCCTATAAGTACATAAGGGGTGTGCATCAGGAACTGGGAGAATATCTGTTCACCAGGACACCCCAAGGGAAGACAAGGTCAAGTGGTCACAAACTGCTGGAAAACCATTTTAGACTGGGCATAAGGAAGAACTTCTTTACCGTCCGAGTCTCCAGAATTTGGAATAGACTTCCCCCAGAAGTGGTGCAAGCACCTACTCTGGACATGTTCAAGAAGCGTTTGGATGATTATTTTGCTGGGGTCATCTGCCCTCAGTTTCTTTCCTGCCCTTTGGGCAGGGGGCTGGACCCAATGATCTTGCAAGGTCCCTTCCAGTCCTAATGTCTATGAAATCTATGAAGTCTTACTCTTGTATATTGTTGGGGGGTATAGGTTTGCAGGGGGGCTGTGGGTGTGTGGAGGAGGGTGCGGGTGTGTCTGGGAGTTGATAGGTGTGGGCTGTGTGGGGTGAGGGAGCAAGGGGGTGTGGACACGTGGGGTGTGCGAGAGGGTGTGTGGTTCTGCAGGTATGGTAGTGCGAAGGGAGGTGTGGGGTGTGCATGTGGGACTCACTCTATGAATACACATGCACACTCCCATACTGTGCAGCCCTGTGCTCCCCAGTCCAGCAATGCAGCCAGGAGCCACATGGTGCTGGAGCAGGGTGGGGGCAGGAAGCAAGGAAATAGCTGGGGGTGGGGAGGGGCTGGGCTGCTGCATCATGCTGATGGCTTCCTCTGGGTCTTACTGCCCCTGGCTACTGTCATCTTTGACAGGCAGCCAGGGGCAGATAAATATTAATTTTCTAAATTTTTTTAGAGTCCCTGCGGGCTGGATAGAATGGCCTGGCAGGCCGAATCCAGCCCACAGGACATATTTTGCCCACCCCTGTTACATGCTTTACAAGAGACAAAAAAAGAGAAGTATAACCTTAGAAAAAGCCAGCATGGAAGTAATCTATTTCTTATGTTAATTTACTGTAACTAAAGCAGATATAAAAATAAGGCAACAAAGAACAAACTTTTACTAGAACACATCCTTTCTCCTAATCAATTTCGTACCTTTTACTTTAGGTCAACTTCCCATTAATAACTTCACTGAAATATTCATTTCACTTCACTGAAGCACCCACTGTCAATACTCTTTAATGGCTAAAACTTGCTGATATACTGGGTGACTTCACGCAATATGTGAGTAAAAGTCTCACTGAGGTCAAGTTAGTTGTTCCAATAAGCATGGTACTCCGTGTTGAAGTATGATATTGTGAAGCTGTTAGCACCCACAGTTCCTACCAAAATCTTCCACCTGAGTAGATTATAAGAAAATAATTTAAAGCAATAGTTTTCAAAATATGTTCGGTGGAACCCTGGGGTTCCATGATAGGTCATCAGCAGGGATCCTGGTTTTCTCTGTTTAAAAATCCCAAATTCCCTGATTAAAAAAAAACAATTCTGTATTTTTCTGTGATTAAAATGAAATTCCACTATATATATAGGTATCATTTGAACACAACGTTCTATTGATATATTTACAATTTTAAAGCATTTTGAAACCCTACCAAGTGCCTCAATCATTATAATAAAATAAATTTTAAATACCTAATAATTTTTTAGTTTGATTTGTTTTATCATGGAATATCAGAGCTCCCCCTGCTTCCTTTGCTCACCAGGACCGGGTCCAGCTGCAGCTGTCCCCACTCGCTGCTTTGTAGCACTGAGCAGCCCTGATACACCAGTGTCCTGCCCCTGCCTTTGCCCCTCACTCCTGACCCATAGGCCCCTGGCCCTGCTGGTGCCCCTCACTCCTGACCGGCTGCCCTTTGTCCCCTGCCCCCCTGTGTGTGAGGAAGGAAGTGGGTGTGTGGGGAAGGGGGGGTGCAAGCATAGGTGACACATGGTAGGGAAGGCACAGGTGATACGGAAGGGGAACACATACCCCTCCAGATTTGTGCGCCCCCAGCCGGGCATGGGGCTACAGCCAGACCAGACGAGCTCCAGGCAGGAGCCACCTCCACGGCTCTACCCAATGCTAGTGGGAGTGCCATGTCGCCATTGCAACCAAGGTGGTGCAGTGCTCCCTCCCATGCTAGGTCCCACCCACTGGGCCATGGAGGTGGCTCCTGCGTGGAGCTGCTCTGGCCTGGCTGCAGCCCAGCACCCTGCTGTGGGTGCAGAAATCTGGGCAGGGATGTGCTTCCCCTTCCACATTTCCTGTGCCCCACCATGTGCCGCCTGTGCCCCTCCCCACCCCACAGACTTACCTGGTGGGAGCTCCAGAAGCTGCTCTCCATCACACTTCCTGGTGCCATGTGCATATATGCACATACACATGCACGTGGTACCTCTGCCCCCTGCATCCTGCTCACCCAGCCTCAAGCAGCCCCTTGCAGGCTGGATCTCTGCCAGCAAGCAAGGGGAAACCTATTGCTTCCTGCATTTTTCTCCTTTAAAGGAGAAAATCTACCTTTTTCTGCAGCAAACAAAAAACCCAGATCCCTGGTCATCAATGGTTCCACAAAGAGACTGGGGGTAATGATGGAGTGGGCTGGGAGCCTGGCCACTGCTAGTGCCAGGCTAGTTCGCTTGGCTCTGTCAGCTCACATGGCTTGTGGAGCCAGGGGCAGGGGTTCCAAACCAGAAGTGATATGAAAAGGTTCTGTGACTTTAAGAAGTTTAAAAATTACTGCATTAAAGAAACATGCAATTCTCCCACACCATTTTTAGGCTTTTAGTCAAAAGCAATGCACAGTGAATTTTGTTCTCACTGAGGATTGACAATGTCAGTAACAATGTACACAGTATAATAAGATATCTAAATTTCTGAAGAATATAGCAAGGAACCTGTGGAAAAATCAAAAGTAAATAAATAAACTATTTCAGTGATCAAATTCTTGTTACATAAGTTTATTTTCTTAAAGGTAAATCAAACACATCTGTGAACACACACAATTTTGTAAAATGTAAGCCCTTACTGCTGTTTAAAAATTAAAATTCACACACAAAACACTTCAGCATAATCCAAAAAACAAGATAGCACATTTCTTCTGCACAACAGATGTTCAACTTTGTTGTTTGTTGCTGTCAAGTTGATACAACTCATTCAATACTTGCCTAATAAAAACAAAACAAAACTTAAAGACTTGGAAAAAAGAATACATGCCTTTACAACTTTTAGACAAGTATTTGCTGATTTCTTACAATTCTCAATAAATAGTCCATAGTATAAAATCTCTCAATTTGAATATATAATCCATAATAATTGGCAGTGCCAACTCTCACCATAATAAAGCATTCAGGAGAAATCAATATTGTGTAGCGTGTGTGTGTGTGTGTGTGTGTGTGTACACACACACACACACACACACACACACACACACACACACACACACAGAGCAACAAAAGAAAAACATAACATTTTATATCTTCAAAATAATTTCAAAAAAAGCTAGAGTTCTACATTATTCACAATAAGTTAAATCTTTATTCTAGCCCAGCTAGAACGAGACAATCCCAACAAGATATTATTTACTATCATTAACTAAATGTTTGCATATAAATTCTATAAATATACTTAGGGAACATTTGAGTAAAAGCCATTATTCCATATTAAATTTTAGCCTATTAACTACAGGAAAAGCTATAGCCTTGTTGAGACTCACTCAGGTAAAGATAAAAAAAGATGGCATCTTGTGAAGTTAAAATATAAAAAAATGTGAACAGAGATGGTTAGAACAGCTTTTACTCGTTCCCTAGAATGTCTTATTCTTAAGAAATTCTTCACAGGTCTGAGAGAGAACATACAAAGGAAATACAAGTTACACGCTAGTAACTTCACCAGAGGTTAAGCAAATGGACTAAACAACTAAAGATCTTGCAAAGAAGATAAAGACCTTCTTACACCTGAACTACAACTAACATTTACACAAAAATCTTTCTGTTCTTCAACCTGGAAAAACCATGTTCAAAATACATTCTTCAAGCTGTGTGTTCTAACTCAATTCTTATTCTGTATCTTTTTTTTCTCTTCTCTACCAACCATCTACTATGTTTGAAAGAAGTTTCTGTTTTAACAGCTAGACACAGGCTAGTTGTAACTCATGTAAACAGGGAGCATAGGTCAGATGTGGACAAAGTGGAACAAATTAGGAATATATCCCAACAAACGAAAAAAGTTATAAACTTGTCAACTTCTGCCAAATTATCCAGTAAAAATGTACTTGCTGTGCTGCCAAATACATCACATGCATGCTAATGTTCTATTTTAATGCTCCATTACCTGCTGTACTTGTATAATTTTCTTAAGAATAGAAACAAGAGAGAATGAGACCAATTTCTTTTTCCAAGACAGCAGTACAAAATGGGAACAAGAATTCACTAATGGAAGGGCAACAACGATTATTATTCATTACTTCGGAAATAATATATGTACAAAAGAAATCACCACCACTTGGTCTAGGGCCAGCATTTGTCCTACACTACAGTAAGCTTGTCAGAATGTGGTTGGGAATATCCTTTAGATCAGGGGTGTGAAACTTATGGCCTGTAGGCCAGATTCATAGATTGTAGAGTTGGAAGGGACCACAATGGATCACCGTGTCCGACCCCCTGCCCCTGGCAGGAAGGAGGACCGAGGTCAGATGACCCCAGCCAGGTGACTATCTAGCCTCCTCTTGAAGACCTCCAAGCTAGGTGATAGCACCACCTCTCTTGGAAGCCCATTCCAGCTCCTGGCCACCCTGTGAAAAATGTCTTCCTAATATCTAACCTAAATCCACTCTCAACTAGTTTACACCCATTATTCCTAGTCACCCATAATTCCTGATTGGGCCCATGTGTTGTGTGGTCCATTGGGGCTAGTAGGGGGCCAGAGCAATCAAGAATGGGGTCTACCACCAAAATCCAAGGCATGAAACCCAATTCTTAACACGCTGGCAGTGTGGGGCAAGCACTCCTGCAGCTACCACCTCATCTGTATCCGGCCCGTGAGAAGCCTGGCAGTCTGGATCTGGCGTAAGAATGGGGTGTTTGACACCCTTGCTCTAGAGTCTAAACTGTATATATACAAAAAATTCAATGCCATCTCCATGAAATTTAGAAAAACTCAAATAGCCACTATTACTGAAAGGCCAATAAAATATTTGGGGTTCCACTGGTAACTGCAACAGTTAGTATACATATTACCAGTTGGGTTATTGAACTGATATAACAAAAAGGCCACCAGTATAGCAATTTCAACTCTAAAAGGAACACAAGGTTGCAAGTTTGTCCTTGCTAAATGGAAAAGCCAAACTTATTGAAGAAGAATATTTTATATTCAACTTCTAAAATAAAATATAAGAGAAAAAAATTAAACTGGGTTTTGCCCTTTTTAAGACAAATGTTACACTTGCAAAGACATTATATTTGGGTACCAAATTATCAGTGTTTAAATACATTCCCGCTGTAATTATAATAAAAATGTTTTTAAAATTATACAAATTTGTTAACTGTTTTGTCAACATAAAAATGAGTTGGGTTTTCCTGTACGGCAAAATAAGCAAATGTTATAATTTTCATTAAATGTTGCAGGAATACCAGGACACAAGGAGTTTAACAAGAATTCAGAAACTGCAGATTTGATGACTACAGGTTCTGAAAGAATTTATAATCAAGAAAAACATTTAGCCATCTTTTTAATGCTCTGAGTCTTGGTACCATTTTTCTCCCACATTGTTGTTCCTTTGCTTTTCTGCCAGGTAGATAAATCTTTATATTAAATCAAAACTACTCACACCTTTACAAAAGAGGGCCACCGTTAAAAAAGAGGGCCACTAGTCTGTAAGTGGACGTGGAGGTGGATCCACATACTCAAATGGATTCTTATTGCTTTCAGCAAAATCCCACACAGACACAAGGGCCTGCCCATGTGGGGCCAGATGCAGGACTGAGGTCTAGGAATACAATCTCTTAATGTACTTTCACAGAGAAAAGTGTTTTCTTAACATATTACTTAAAACACATTAACTTAACTCATAAAATCACCATCATATGGTCTAGGGCCAGTATTTGTCCCACACTATTGTAAACTTGCCAGAATACGGTTGCATCTCTCTAGATCAGGGGTATGAAACTATGGCCTGTTGGCCAGATTTGGCCCATAGAGCTGTTGTGTGGTCCATGGGGCTAGGGGCCAGGGCAATCAGGAATGGGGTCTACCACCAAAATCCGGGGCATGGAACCCAATTCGCAACATCTTGGTAGTGTGGGGCAAGCACTGGATGTATTAACTCCTGCAGCCACCACCACATCTACATCCAGCTGTACTCATGATAAAAAGCCAAGGCAGTTTTGTACTTTCACATACTACTGAATAAAGAGGGGTGATTTTAAAAAGGTTTGGTGGCCAAAACTTTTAATACATGTCCAAATGGTCAGGAGACCATGTCTATAACTATTTTGGTAGGCTTAGAAATAACCAGTTAAGCTTCTACAACCTGACAACAAAGCAGAGAATATGGCAGCCATAAGCAAATCTCCTTCCTCTTCCAACCAATGCAGTAAGCTCCTGGCTCATACTCCCTCCAACGGTAAGTTTAAAACCTGTAAGATATGGTCCAGGAAACATATTTCTTGAAATTATATTTTCAAGACAAAAGTTTTTATTTACACAGCTAACCTGGAACCCCACATTTTATGGTCTTGAGAGCCAAAGATTAAACAGCACCGACATATATTATTATTTGTAACAAGCAAAGTGTTTCTATTCATCCTTTGCCTCAGGCAAGCAGTCAGTGCCCAGAAGTGGCATAAAGGTTATCTAATGACAGAAACATTTTATTGATTAAGAAACTAAAAGTGTCTTTAAAAAAAAACTAACACTATCATTTTTTTCTGTACTCAAAGAACTTGCCTTCACTTTTTTATTGGTGAACTTGGGGTTTGCCTCCATTTAAACTCTTGTCTGCACAAAAATCCCTCTAATTTATGTAAAGTTGGGCTTTAAGCTCCAGCTGTCTGACCAGCTGAGGAAGTGCTGCTGACATCTGAGTTAACAGTCAATGATGATGTAGTTGTTGCTCAGGAAGGTCTTAGGAAAAAAATAAACTTTTTATAAAACATAAGTATTAGTGAAATGTAGGAGTTGGATTAAATAAGTTAAATAAAAGGCTAGGCTTGAAACTGTAAATACTAACAGCAAAAGTATTATTTAACTAGTGTTATGTGAAACAAATCAGGACAAAGACTGTAGGGGCACAGAGTTCAGAATTGTTATGAGGTGTCCCTGAAACAATATCTATCTATCTATCTATCTATCTATCTACCTATCTATCGAGAGAGAGAGAGAGAGTGTGTGTGTGTGTGTAGCTGCAGTTTTAGGTACAGCACAATTGAGTTCCTTTTTTCCATCTTTGGTATTGACCTATATTGAAAGACTTAATACACAGATCAAGTAACTTATGTAATAGGAAGAAAATAGCATAAATGGGGGTGTTATTTTGCAAACAGGGTCTCTCCCTTGAAGTGTATTATGGTGCTCTATCAGTTTCCATTCCTATCCCTCCTGGAACTACTTAATAGTACTTCGTTAAGGTGACGTATTATTTTTTATTTGTTATTCTTTGATTTTTCCATTATCATACAGAATTTCTAACAGCATTAATAATTATTTAATAAAGATTTTCTGAGAGATCTTTAACTATTGACACAGTTGTTCTTAAATCCTTTGAGATCCAAAAAATAAATATTTAATCTGATCAAATGCCAGCTGAACCCACTAAAATAACAGTAGCCTAAATACTTTATTAAAATAAAAGGGGAAAAAAATCAGTAAATTGTCAATATGCAGCTGAAGTTACAACTCATCAACTGCTAGTCCAATTGTTTTAAAGGAATCCCACTGATACACTGAAAACAAGCCTTAAATGACCTCTATTGTTTGTGGCAGAAGTTTGACAATATTTTTCCTAGCTGTTCATTTAATCTATTGTGTTTGGCAAACAGGGGTGGTTTCCTCATTGCTGTTTGGATGCATCTGTAATTAGCAGGGCTGGATTATTTAGCAATATCTTTCCGTTTCTGCATCAAACATTTTCTTTGTTCCTACCATGAATAGCACAGCTTTGGGAATACAACTTGTCAGTTAACTCTGCTATAAAGCCACAAGAGGGAGCAGAACTGGCTAAGTAAGAAATTGAAAAAATAGTTCTTAGTGGAGAATCAACACTGAATGGGGATGTTTCTCTTAATATTTCATGAAGATTGGGATTAGGCCCAACACTGCTTAATATTTTCATCAATGATAATTGAACACAAATTCAAAACCACACACACACATATATAAATTTATGTAACATACACACACACACATCAATATTTAAATTCATGCTTATTTTGGTACAAATCTACAGTAGTCACTAATATGTAATTCAATGGTAAAGTTACAACTGCATTAAATTTTTAAATATAATTATATGCACTTTTCTTTTGTATTGATCAAAATATGTATAATATGCATATAATTTTTTAAGACTCAAAGTATTTATTAAAATTATTATTTCACTTATCTTTACTAAATTATTAATGCAGAAATACTTTGGTAAAGCAAGACACTGAAATATATATTTTTTTTTCTGGTATAAAAACGTTTTGCAATACAAGCTGAAAGCTTTCAAAATATAATTAATTCTAAGAATTGCATCCTGTTTTTCAGTAGTAGTGAACCATGGTGCCTCTGCGATTTCATTTTGAAAATAAAACAGTAAATAGAATACATTTTTCACTGTCATACTAAAATATTCTAAAATGACAGTGAGTAAAAATGGTTGTAATTCTGAAATTAAGCCTGCTTAATATCAACTAACAGTGACAATCTGCCAAAAATAACCCCACCAAAAATCTTAACAGTTGAGCAGAAAGCAAGGAAATTATCAACTAATATCTCATTTTGACTTTCATGAAGATAGATGACCAAAATTATTGAAACTAAATGACAGTATCTTCTTATGTAACTTAATAAAATGGCAAAAATTAAAAGAAGTCTGAGAAAACATTCTAGATTTAAAAAGGAAATATTTGTTTCCTCTTTGAGAGGATAGGAGTCCAAAAAATAGTTCTACATTACTTTCAATAGGATGGTCCATGGAAAAATATTTACATTTCATTTTTCATTGGAAAAACATTTTGGACACCTCTCTGGGAAGACCAACAGAAGTACTAGTATTATAACTAAGAATATGGTTTAATACTTTATTGTTCCCTACTTTGAAAAGCAGTCTTGTCTAAAGTGAGCTTCTAAAATACTGAAATATAAATCCATGCTATTTTGCAAATGGGAAATTTTGATTCATAAGAAGTTAATGAAAAGCAACATTAAAAAGGCACAAATTAATAGAAATCCTCCTTCAAGCTAATGAAATATAAAGGCAACAATTTGACTTTCCTGCATAAAATCGGTCACATTTTAAACAAAAAAGGGATGAAGGAATACAAAGGGATTCATGCCAAATTCAACAGATTACTCCTTCTAAATAATGTGCATGCTTTAAAGCTGAAAAAGATATTAAATACCTGCCTGTCTTGTGACAGTAAAGGAGAATTAACTTTCTCAAGCAATTACATTCTAGAAAGCATCTCCTATCTCTTCTTAAATGCAAGAAAGATCCCCCCCCCAATGTAGGTCTTGTATTCATTATAAAAAGGTATTTTACTTTACACCACCTAACTTTGGGGTAAAATTTTAATGAGGACAAAGCAGTGAGTTGCTTTCACACAAATTAGCAGGCTGAATATTCTGCAGGGAGAGTAAATATTAGCTACATTTGCAGAAAAAGTAGTCTATAAAAAAATAGTTTCTGAAAAGGTAAAGCATGTCCAAAGAACCAGTTTGCAGCTAGGGGTGTAGGCAGACAGATCTTTTAATTATTTTTCAGTGTCTTAATTTTGGGTCTGGAAGATTTTTCCCTTATTTTGCTTTTACTGGGTACCCATTAAATGGCTGTAAATAATCAGATTGTATTTAGCCAATAGGAATCTTCTTCCTAAATCTAAACTAAACATCTCTTTAGAAAATAAAAAGATGGTTCAGAAAGGCATGAACTTTCAGCAACCTACTTCATCAAACAGATGTCAGCAGTTGCTCTCAGATTCTAACTGATGGTATTTTAATTGGCAACACTTTTAATTTAGTACTTAAAGCATGTAAGAAAAGAGAGGATATACAACATTATTTCTCAAAGGAAGGCGATGCAAGTGTGTCATGTCAGGAGATGACAGGTGCTTAGCATCTGTAAAAATCAGAACTTTAACCACATCTGCAGACATTTGAGAACTGCTAGCATTCAGCAGCCCTGAAAAATCAAACCTTAACTTTCCTATTCTATCCTTAAATTAAATTAACAAGCAGAAAGGAATATTTCTCTCTCATTACTGGAGGAACCAGATGGATTGCTTCTCCTCTCACTTGCAGTGCTTTTACATCAGTATAAATTAAGTTTATTTGTTATTTGATTTTTTAATTGCATTTCATTTATTGGCAAATGATTTAATCTAAACTAGCTAGTTTAAAGGGTAAAGGGTAGGGTAAAGGACAAATGTTTGTTGCCTGGAACAAACATTTAGAAAGTGTCCATAGTAGGCTATACAAATGCAGTCAATCAACTCGAGATAAATAAGTCTAGTGTAGTGACATCTTGTAGGAGAATCAATTAATTATAGGGACTCTCTCAAAACAGACCAGAATACCAATAATTTTAGATGTAGTTATGATCCCTTTAAATATGGTTACACAGATATAATCAAATGTCAATCCTATTAATTTACTAATATAAATAAGATTTTACTTATTTTTACTCCTACTACTGTTGTCTAGACAAGAGCATTATAGGAGAAGTTGCATTACCTTCTGATTGCATATCAGCAATATTGATACATTTTAAACGTAGAATCTTTAAATGCAGAATCCTTCACAGTATATATACGTGTTGGTTGCTTTCTACAACTGTAGACATCCAAGTTCAACCAATGCAACTCATTTGGATTTATGGACCAGAAAGAACACAGTTTGACTTACAGATACCATTTGTCACAGAGGGTAAGTGCTGGTATGCAACGCCATCCTTTTATTTACAAACTGAAAGAACATCATGTCAGAATCTCTAAATGAATACGCAAATGGGGTCATATTATGACGTTTTCAGTCACTTCAGCGTGTAAATTCTTATCCTAAGGGTGAAATTGGTTGTGAAGTTCTGCAACAACCTCAACCCTAAACCTACGCAATGCTGCAGAAATACTAGGGGAAAAAAAAATCCACTGAATGACGGCCAGTTACTTGCAAATTCAAAATACAAAAAAAGGAATACAGAAAATCCTTAAAGGCAAGTAAAGAAAAATGCACACAGTGACTGATCAGAACAGGCCGTGTGCTGCTTGGCATGGAATGAGATGTGTGCCAGTTTTAGGCAGCACCTTCAGTTTCATGGCACTAGCTTTCCCTAACTTAATGATGAAGATCTAGGTTAGCTCCTTGGATCTACAGTAAGTTACTGGATTTGTATCAGAATGAAGAGACCACATTTTGTACAGAGCATCTGAGTGGGGTAGTTTTGTGTAAAACCCCTAGGAGCAAATTTATTTATTAGTTTGTTGAATGGTATATTTTCCAAGTATGACACAAATGGTTCTATATTTACAACTTGTTCCATAATGTAAATGCATAATTATGTTATATTATATTTGAGAACATATTTCTGACCTATAAAATCCATGGTTAAAAAATCTGGTACAAATTTCAATTTTTTTGTTCTTTTTGTTACACTCCTCTTTGTATAATGAGACATTACTAAACCAAAATGTTTCTTAGTTTGGTATTCTCTACTTAGAGTATTACAGTTACCCATATGTAAAATGTAAAAAAGGAATACATTTGTTTAATACTAGTTATGCAGTGCAACTCTAACACTGTAGTACTGGACCACTATTACTTCCTAAGGAAATTAGATGAATACATATAACATATTAATGACACACACACCTATTAGCATGTGGTAGTAAGATAACTGTTGAATTATTTCTCAAAATCTTAAAACATCTATCACCAATATTTCAAGCTGCTTCTGTATGAGTTATAAAGGAAAATAGTACATCATAACCTGGAGCTTTTAGTTCTTACATTGATTTATTTTCCATTAAGCTTAAATCCACGGGGAAATCCGAAGAAATACAGAGCCATTTACCCAAGAATCCTTTGCCTTGTCTATATTATGGGGTTTAACTATGTTGGTATGAGCCTTCATGGCCCGTCGTGGAGACTCATCACATCCCAACAAATGGAGATATTTCTGCTGACTCGGCTATTACTCTGTGCACCTGAAGCATTGTTTTACTGAGCTAGACTCTACTGGGTAGAGTAACTTGCATGTATTGAACTGTTGTAGTGAATATAGGCTCTGCTAGATGTAGTAACATAACTTTACACTGAAGTGTATAGTCTTTATCTGTTCTGTATACTGTGAATTATGTAAAGGTTGTTTATATAGCCCTTATTTAGCATTAAATAGAAAAAAAAAAGATTAGGGGAAAATGATGTATTCTTGTTATTAAACAGGACTAGCAAATTCATTTAGAAAGAACAGGGGTTTTTTTTAATCCTCTAGTAACCTCTCTATTCCTGTTATAACTAGGGATCTACCTAAATCACAATGGAAGTTTCTGGTGGCTGAGAGGCAATTAATACCATGTTTTTTGCCTCTTGGCCACTCAGCAGTGGTAGAGGGGAGGGTGAGGCAGCAGAAAGAGCAAGATTATAAAGGCGCCCCTGTGCTGCAAACTCCTGTCACCATTTAGGTAAGTCCCTAGTTATGTCCCTTCTTTGCAACCTACTGTCTTTAGTTTTAGCCCTATGCTCCAGTCTTTCCCTTCCATCTCTCTTTGTCTTAACTAAAAGGTCTGGTCTACACGTAAAAAGTTTGCCAAGCACGGCTATATCTATGGCAGGGGGAGGTTACAAACCTAAACAAAATAGCTAATCTGGAAAAAAAAAGTGGGAAACTGCAATTATATCTACAACTAAGTGCATTTTATTTAGCTTGTTTTGGCTGGGGAACTGGTATGAACTCTACTGGCATAAGAACTCTTTTGTTATTACAAAGTGTTTCTCTGCTACAAGGGTTTGCTAATGAAGTTTTAGTAGCAAACACTTTATAATGCTAGTAGGAACTAAGTCTAAATCCTTACAAATCTACATTACAAAGTTTTGTCAGAATAGTTATGTTGGTTAGATGGTGTAAAAGACTTAGACCATCTAGCCAATGTACTTACACTGGTAAGACTCTCACAGATTGTGAACTCCCCTCCATGTGTCTGGAGAACAGAGACTGTGGTTCTTTGCATTAATACAATCAATTGGGAGATAATCCTAGAGTGTGACTGCATGCACATGGTCAAATCACCTGGGAGAATTTTCCCAGGATTGTTTTCACGGTAGAAAAGCTTACCCCAAGATACAATAATACTGAACAGACATTTAAACTGCTGAGCCCTTGAAGAGCAGGGAACATGCAGTGCTGATGTTGCGCAGCCCAGGGGCCCCTGTGTACACATCTCAGTTTGCTCTGCACATTCTCTTAGTCTGCCTGGAGACAGATGGCAGCAGGACACAGGGCAACCCTGACTGACTGACCCAGACTGCACAGGGTCAGCCTGTGTCTCCATTCAGTACAATGTGGGATTGTGAAAGTAGTTTATCCTGCTCCTTGCTCACCTGGAGCAGAAGAGTCGTTGCAAGTGACACACTGTCTCCCCGAGGAAGGAGATGGGAGGGGAACAGGAACAAAGCTGCCTAGGAAGCTGAAGAAACTCTCCTAGTTGTTCCAACTTTATTTTTTTCTCTTGGAGTGGCCATTTTTGCTCTGGGAAGAAAATCCTTAACATCCATGGTTTCTCCTGGGAGATCAGCAACTCTCCCAGGAGAAAATGATTGTTTGTATGTGGCCTGCTTCATTTGTGTGAGAACAGCAGGGAGGCATTGGAGGACAATAAGTACTCAAAAGCCTGCATCCTGACTGCAAAATAGGTAGGTTCTAGTCTAACTGAAGAAGACCTGGGTTCTAACCTATATCCTACAGCTGCATAAAACAGCCCATACAACAAACCTCCAAAGCTAGTTCATAGATTTCAATCTGTATGTGGCAGGAGGATTTAGGCAAAAACCCAGGAAAAATTCTGGGTTTACTATGCAATGATGACATGACCACCAAGTTGTTTTTATCTGGTAAGCAACAGTGGCTTGTGCTTCAGTGTTTCTCTGTAAAATGGGCTGAAATTCTAGACCCGATTCATTTTTTGGGGGTTGGTGAGTATGTGTGTGGGAGCTCTTCCTGATGAAAAGTTAAATTAAATTACAAGCAACATTCACAAAAAATTATAAATACTGGTTAACAATGAATTTTCTGCAGGAAATCTCAAAATGAAAATTGGTTCAGATCAGCATTTATTTTAGACTTAGATTATTACTTATTTTTAGATTAGGAACCAGAAACCATAACAGTTTAAGTCACATTAGCACTGACAAAAAAAACTTTCATTTAATTTTCAGATAAGTTTTCTTTTTAAAATGTTTTAAAATGATCATTTAACTCTAAACAAAAACATTTCCTGTGAGGGAATTAAAATATTTTCCTAAACTTTTAAGTGACTATTTTCCTAATTTCCTGAAAACAAAACATTTCCAATCACCCATCGCTAATACTATCTATTTTTGTAAAGCACTTCAAGATCTATGAAGGAAATGATTTATCTAATAATATAGGGCTGTCCAACTCCACTGTAGCCAGGAGCCACACACCATGCTGGCCATACACTGAAGGGACAGGCCCCCAGGATTTCCCGTGTCCCCCAGCTATATGGCCTGTGCACATTCCCCCAGGTTCCCCCCTCCCTGCCACTTGAACAAAACTGGCAATGTACAACTTCTTCACCCTAGGCCGTGCATGGCCCCTCACCTTCCCCCTTCACATGGGCTGCATGGCTGGTGCCATCCTGCTGCTCAGGTCTCCCCAAGCCCTTTTCCCACAATGCAGAAATGAGAGAGGCAGCTGTGGGGACCTGCAGCCACCAGCTGGACAGTTTATATATTGTTAATATATAAACAAATATTGTTATCGAAAGGCCAGCTTGTTAATTTTTTAAAAATAGCACATATCTTTTCCTCTTGATTTTCAAATGAGTGAGCCTGATGATGCAGGGACAGAAGTTACTCATATATATTTTATTTTCAATCAAAATAACTGTATAGAGTGTGTTATAACAGGCAACATGCATATGACTACAGTGACTGCTAAAGGTTTGAAAACAGACACTGGATTGAAGAATGATGCAATTACATATTGCATTTAGCAATGTGTAATAAAATGTTACAACACACCACTAAAAATATATTGCTTTATAAAGATGGACAGTATGGCCATGTCCAGACTGGGCTCTTGGGGGCCCCTGGGGCTGCAGCAGCAGTGATCCTCCAGGCAGCCTGGCTCTGCTTTTCAGTGGCACACGCTGACTGTGTGCACTGCTCTTTTTTTCCATAGGTTTTTTTGGCCCTTAGATATCCATGAGTCAAAAAACCTCGCAAACAACCCCAAATGGAGCCATACATGCACGAGCAGCATGCCCTTGCAGCGTGGGGAACACCTGACTATGGGGTATCTGGCACTGCAGACATGTTTGCGGTGTCACATACTGCCTGGCCATGCTCATCTGGACACGCCCTGTGTGTCCAAATGACAAATCCCAATAAAACCCAAATAAAAATATGTTAATAGGTCTTGAAAGTAAATCTTGTTGGCTAAGGTTTAAAATGTTTCCATTCTGTAGTATTTTATTTTAACCACAGTTCCTAAAAGCAGTGCTTTAAAAAAAATAAATAAATCAGAAAAACGTTGAGTATTTAGTTTAGTTTTAGGCAGGTAACACAGGTTTTTAAGATGGTCTTCACTATCATAATAGAAATTCTTTACATTAGTAGTATGGATGGATTTTTTTATAATTATTATTTTTTAGAAACAGCAAAAAGCTAGCTTTTTTTCCTTAGCAAAAAAACAAACAAGCAAACAACCCCCCCAACCCATGTTAGTAGTGTTAGAGAATTCCAATGCATTTTGCCAAAACATCCTAAGAATATTCATAAAAATAAGCTTCCTCATTTTTGTGTCATTTTAGAACCAGCCTATGTGAAAATTAGACTGTATATTTCTACATAATTTATTTGGAAAAAATCCTGTGAGAAGAATCTAGCTTGTCGTAGAGATTATTAACTGAAATATTTTTTAATAGAAATGTAATACTCTAGTCACTCATACAACATTCACTAGAAAATTCAAGATAAACCAGAAGAAGGAGAAAGAAAAAAGGAGCCAAAAGAAGGTGTATCCATCCTTTCTGTCAATGAGTTTTTATAGTGAGCTGGGTATAACACTCTGGAAAACAACTACCTTAGATACAATTTCTTTACAAGCATTCCTTGTTAATTTTGTTAGCTGATAAGTTTCCTACAGTCATCATCATTTTACTTTACTTACATTTCTTTTCTCTTCCTGTTTTTGGGTGTAAGTGCACACAAAGATCAAATAATGACATTGCCCAAATCAATCTACTGGCATAAACCAGTGAACAATTATAAAGTTTTTAAGGGGGCGATGATGACCCAATGTTCATGTACACATCCCAGCTAATTCACCATAACTATTTCATCTGTCTACCCCTACCCCACAGAAAGTGAAGATAAACTGCAGTAACTCAATCCTGTTTCTTTCACAGGTCAGCTGCCCAGGTTTAATTATCACACTCCCAAACAGGAACAGACAGATGAAACAACACATTCAGCTGAAAAGCAATAAATACTTTCCCCTCTTAAAACAATATAGTCAACCATCTGTTCATGCTATACAAAATTTAGAGCCTTATCTTTATTCACAACATCCAGACTGCAAAGACACCAACTCCAAAGGCTCTGTTTCTATTTGATGGTTCAGTATACTCAATGATGAGTCAATAGACAAATGAGTGATTTATAAAAATGGAGGGTGATAGGGGAAGACTACCTTGGAGCTCTACAGTTGTTACTTTTGGCAACTCCAGACTGGTGCCTGGGGAGTAACCTGAAGTAAACTGAAGATATTTCTCACAGGTTGACACAGACAGAGGCTAGGTACAGACAAGCAAACAGCCTGAGGCAGAATTGATTCAAGTTATGCAGTTTTCTGTAAATGGTGTATTTTAGATCAGTAGTGAACAGACCACACATTCACTCTTTCTTAGGGGAAGGAGGGCAGAAGTCTTAGACTGGGTTCTGTCATTTTCAAAGCAGTCTGTGTGCTAAACTTCTGTTCTGTTACAGATATAGACTGGGTTTGTATGCTGAACTTCTCTTCTATTATGGGTATAGACCAGTTTCCAATCACTTATACAAATAAACTTGTAATATCTGAACCTGGCCAGAAAGGTCACAGAGATCAAGGCACTTTGGTCTCTGTAGAACAGAAGCAACCATACTATATTCCATTCCCTCTGTCTAGAATATTCAAATATTGAGATTCCTCATAAGGAGGGTTATGGAGTAGTGGTCACTATAAGACAAGAGAGACAGGCAGCTGAGGGGTGGGGTATAGGAAGGAGAAGAATAGGAAAGGAATCATGTAAAGGAAGAAAAAGACTGTAAGGAAGGCTAAGCTGAAACCTCTGCTATGACACATAAGGCATAACACCACAATAAAATATTCTAGATAAAGACCAAAATTAATTAAAAAAATAAAATATATACATACTTGCTATTAAAGATTGAAAATATAAAATTATTATATAGTGACACTTCCTTACCACACCTATAAAATGTATATGTGAATGTGTTCCTTTAAGAAACTACTCTCTTCCTGGAAGAAGTACAAGGGAATGTGGCTGTGCTGGTATAACTAATTATTTTGTTCAGAAGGCAGCAGTAGAAAAGGCAGAGAAAAGAGGTGCAACAGCAGTGTCAACCTGGGAGACAGGAAAACCTGAGTCAGTTCTGATCGAATACTGAATCTTTATGCTGTCTTGCAGAACAGTAACTTATAATTATAAACTATCATAAAATTCTGTTTTGGAATACTGTACAAATAAAATAAGTATGAGAAGTACTCTGACCCTCTAGGAAGGAATAATCCTGTAAATGAGATGTACTTTGTTCTTTGTAAGAAAGAGGAAGTGGCAAGTATTAGTTTACTACTTAATTAAACTTTTTGATTTATTTAAATTGCATTAATTGGAGTAAAAAAAGTTACATAGACTATTTTGATAACGAATTGTACTTCTGCTTTTTCCCCCCAGTATTGTTGACTGTATCATATAATCTGACACTGAGAGCTGTTGTTTTCAGTTACACCAGAATCTTTCAAGAACATGTAGCATTCTTCCTCTTAAAAATGTGGCCGAAATTACTGTATTAAAAAGGAGAAGAGCAGAAAGTACAAATAGATATCTAGGACCTAACTTAGTGTGCATATCTGTGTACACCAGTGTGTGTAAAAGGGTGTAAATCTGATTATCATTTTGGTCTTGAATTAACTTGTTCATTTTTTTAAATCTAGAGTTCACACATTGCTGATGTTCAGGATAGGGTAAGGCAAAAATGCATGGGAAGAAGCCATCTTATATTTTACAAATGTTTAACTAACTCAAGTTAACTTACAATTGAGTAACTTGATATGAAAGGCTACTGTAGATACTAAGATTTCTTTCCATCATATTGATATAGTGTAAATTGGCCATTTTAATGCTCCGTAACATGCAAGAGTGGTGTAAAGCGGTCCTAGGGTAAATGAAACACAGATTATAATATTCTCAGTTAACAGAATTTTATAGTCTCTTACACTGGCATATATGACTACACAAGGCACAGAGCTATAGATCATCATGCCCTGGGTCTTTATTTGTAGCTAGGTATAATTACTCATGGTAAAAATTAATCTGGTGCTAGGCAAAACATTACTGGTAGAATACTGGAATAATGGAAATTAGACAAAGGTGTGAAGGAAAATTTCTCTTTTGTGCAAGTGATGTGTTATCCATTCCTGTGAGCTGTGATAATTTTAGAGTCCCATCAAAGTCTAAAATCGGTGTAATAAGCCTTCTAATAAAAGCTGCCCATGCTGGGAAACAAAGAAAATATAACTACACTTTCCCTATTCATTAAATGTCTTGCCCAATCATTCTCTTTTTTCTGATAATTTTTTATTCCATTGTACCCAATGTCCATAAAGTTTTTTTAAATATAAAAAGCCATTACATTTGCTCGTTTGAAAAACTTTAACTGTATTGCACCCTTAATTTCAAAGTTAAATTAGCAGGGTCACTGCATTTCAAAACTTTTTGTATCTAAAAACCTTTTAGAATTTGTTAAAAACACAAGTATTTTTTCATGTTTTCAGTTTAAAAGACGACAAAAACTATATGGAGAAAATACCTCAAAGTGCAATTTACTGAATATTACAAACAGTCTGCACCTCAGTTCATTGGTACTGTTTGCAGAACAAGTTTTAATTGTAGTTACAGTTTCTTCATGTTTACACTAGGTTTACTGGGGAAAGAGAATGTAATTTTTTTCCTCCAACTGAACCGTGTTAACTTCTGAGATTGCTTCCAACGAGAGAATTCAGAAAGCAAATCTGGATAGAATACTACATTAACATTATTTTTCAATATTTTAACACCAGCCACTTTAAATTGGTTGAGTTACTATCATGTACACTGATCTTTAAGATTAAATATGCTAACTCTACATAACAGTGCAAATCTCAATATTCACATCAACCTGAAATTAATGCTGCAATTACTGTTGACATTCAAATCAAGAAAGTAGTAATGTAATTCACATCTGCAATTCCCAAATCTCAAAATGCTGTCATTATTATTATTAAAGCAACACACAACAAATATGTTACATTTCAAAGCCTCTTGGTTTTGTTACACATGATCCCTGTAAACATGAATGCATTTTATTTATCAATACTGATAACTGATATAATTTCATAAATAAAACCATTAATACAAACAATTCCTATAACCTTTTTTGCATAGGGTTTGGAATATTTTTACTTTAAAATGCAGCAAGCTGTTAATAAAACCTCTTAGTCAATTAGACTCCAGTAATGCAAACAAAGAATTATATACATATATACATATACATGTATATGTGTGTATGTGTATAATATGTGTGTGCACGCACGAATGTGTTTATACACACACATATACACACTTAACTTTACACAATTCATCTCACTGATTTCAATGGGATGACTCACATGCATAAATGTTTGCAGAATGGAGTCTTATTTAGCACTTAATTGTCCCTAGTCATTCACAATATGAGCAGTAAAAGTGCTCTGCATAAATTTATAAAATACACTGTTCAATTTAAAAGTTTATCAATGGAAATGCTTAGGTAAAAGTCACATTTATGATTCCAAACAGGTTATGTACATAATATACTATCACAGTAGGAAATACCTCACTGCAGAACAACACAGTGTACAGTTGTGAAGCACAGTGTTTAGTATAATTTCCCATTTCCCTTCAGTTTTTCCCAGTGTATAAGTGGTTTACAACTACACTATATAATGTGCCCAAGTCTAATTACTTGTTATATACAAAGAAAAAGCAAGATCTATAAAAGGTTGCAACATATGATAAGGAACAGAAAAAAGGGGTAAGATACAGGAGTGCATTCCTTCAAGCTGCTGACTGTCCTCCAAGCTGCCCACAACTACCACTGAAGTCCATAGGACTTGAAGGAGTAGTGCTTAGCATCTTACACGAGAAATCCCTAAGTCCACTTTATTAGAACATCAATATTATTCAGATGTTTTATAAAGTGCAGAAAATAAAAAAAATCTAACATTTAATAAACTGTTAAGCAAATTGGCCATGCTTGTCCAATGCAAAATTAAGAACACAGATTGGCATGCATTTGTATGGACCCTATGATAACAAATATAGAAACTGGAGATTCTGAATCTTAAAAAAAAAAAAAAAAAAAATCATCTCAGCATTTTAAAATTTCCATGTAAATATATATAAAAAATAAATTATAGCTTTCCTTGAAATGTATATTTAAACATGATCCTTTTCCTAACTGTTCAAAATTAAATTTCATTTTTTTACTCAGGCATAGTATTGTTTTTGTGGAATTTGAAAAGTTACTTTTTAAAAATTCAGATTCTCAAGAAGTAGAAATAAAATAACACAGTACAAATTGCTGCACCTGCCCACCATAAATTATCTAGATGTAAAAGAAACGTAAGAATTGATTATATTCCAGGTAGCTTAAAACAAAATCTATGGAGTAAATTTGTAAAATAACATTAGAGTACCATAACACTTAAATCTTTTGTTAAATTCCAAATTAAGGGCCAGATTCTGGCCCATCCCATGTGCCAGCACAAGGGACTTAGAAAGGACATAAGTGCCATCTTGCTTTGGTGTACTGTACCACCTTTTCTTGTGTGCCAGGGAAAACAAAGTCAGCAGAGCTGCTCTAATACCCCTCAGACAGGTAGACAAGAGCATATACTCCAAGAGGTCTGTGTCTTTTAAAGCATTTTCCCTCCCTTAAGCAGCAAAGAAATTGTTACTCAGTATCAAAATCTTCCTCCCAATCTTCCAGGCTGCTCTGAGGACAGCACAACAATGTACTACTCCTTATAAAATGAATTATTCACTGACAATTTAGCCTTAGGAGAGCACAGTGTTGGTTGTACAATAACTCTTACACCATACCCAGTATTACTGAACAAGTACTACAACCATATGTCTTGAAATAGAAAGCTAAAAACATAGAGCTGAAATTAATTGTTAAAAGCAACAAAACATATCTGTTATCCCTCCATGACAAAGGGGCACACGTATTACCAAGTTTTCACCACTTAATTCTTGGAGATAGGACATTTCTCTGCTCCTCAATCAGAGAATTGGAAGATGGTTTCTGGGTTATTGCTGTCTGTAGGATTTGTTGGCTGCAGTGTCTTTGTAGGTGTAGTTTTACCATGAGAATGAGAGGAGGAAGAATGTGAACTTTCACTGGAGCTGCTACGTGTCTCTGTGCTTGTACTTGTCTTTTTCATTTTCCTTCTTTTTGCAAGAGGTGCCTTGTCAACATTCTGGAGACAAAATCCTTCCCTTTTGTACTTGTTAAAAGCCTGTTTAAAAATAAAAAGTAATTCTATGCTCTTATAAAAGGTTAAAGACATCTTAGTACTCACAGCCTATTACAAATGTGCTATGATGAGGAGTATTATCATTTCTCAAGTGTCACATCTATCAATTCTTAATGTGGCTGATGATAATTCTACAAGCCTTTAAACATATATTATTAATAGACACCCTTTCCTCACACTTTCTATGTTTAATTTGTTTTCTAGTGAGACTTAAATTCAAAATTATAGTTGAGCAAGGTACATTGACTTACTGTAACTTTACTTTTAGTTTCAACTTTCACAGTGGAAACCATTTTGCATTAATCAAGAGTTCTACATCTGCTATGTTAAGTGAAACAATTTACCCCATTCTTTCCCACTTAGACAAAACAAGGTCATGTTGTAATAAAATCAATAAAATGCAATTTATTTGTGCAAAAGTTCCTGACCTGCTTACCATAAGATTCAGTTATTCTTCCGAAATAAAATTTTTGGAATTCCATATTATATTTCTGTCTTTGCCTGCACTTGTATAACTTTGGCTAGCATTGGAAAGCATCTAGTAAGAAAACATGAATGGTATTTTAACAAGCCTTCCCAAAGCACAATACTTTTGTGATGCTTTACCTCAAATTTCTAATCACAAGGAAAATGAAACTGAAAATAAATCAGGCAATAAACATAAATAAAATGTTACAGGCATCTTACAAAACTCTGTTTCAGGACCTTATCTTATACTTCTCCAAGCCTGGTAGCTATTTCTCCAGAATTTTTTATCCCAAAGATATACACATGTTCTCAAAATATGAATTACTGCTTCAATTTACATTTTGGTGTATATGTTTCATTGTATTTTCTCATATATGTTTTTGGCCTTTAATTATTACATTGGCCACATACGTCTGTGATTTGCTGACCTACCATAGAACACATGAAGCCAAATCCTACTTTGCCACTAAACCTTTTAAATGACACTTTTTAGGTTCCAGTGGGTATGTCTACACTGCCTCATTCCATTCTCAAGGCTACCCCTGAAAAATAAGCCTCAAAAGTAGCAATAGAGGAGCATCCTCACTGTTTCATTTATGAGTTCTGCGTGGGTGGGCAGCGCTCATTTTTGTGCCAGGTCTAAGGTAACGTGGAACTAATGTTGACATATCCTAAGGCCATCTACAGGCATTGCAGTTCTACCGAAAGAAATAACAGCTCTCCCAGCAGAAAGCATGGCCACCGGAAGCCAAGTAGAAGTGCAGCCACTCTGCTTCCCGGTCTGAGACGTGGGTTGGGGCTTTGTCTTGAATAACGTTACTTACATTGGAAACGCTCCAAATTTTCATCAGTGACAGTAATGCATCATTCATTAAAATAATCACTAGATAAAATGCATAACACTATACTGCAATAACACTATACTGCAAGCAGGGTCCAGAAATCAGGACTTTCTCCTTCTCAGTGCCAAGAACTCTGGCCCCAGAAGTCAGGCTACTTAAATCTCTTTCTGGCTCCATGATTTTTTAATTTGGCTGCCCAGTAGATCAGCTTCAGTTTAAGGGAATGGAAGATATTCTCAGCTATGTCTAACACATAGCTTTGTGGCTAAGTCACTCTGCAGAGACAAAAAAGATACAAGTTCAACTTTTCCTAAGATTGAGGGGATCCTAGAAGCCAGGTCTCCCATATCCTGGGCAAAGATGGAGGAGAAGGAGTAGGAGGATTTACACTGAAGTTAGTGTTGTTGCCTGGTGGTATAGATTTCTCTGCTCAGGTCCTTAGACAGATTAAGATGTTTCCCTTTTACATGATCAGGCAAAAGTGGTACTACACGCAGAGGGAGGTGTTACTTACATTAAAATGCCCCACTGAGAGAATGCAGAGTTATATGTCACCTAGGCCAGGACTGTCCACCTTCTGAGCATCCAGGGATCTATAAACCAGGTCTCCCATGTCCTGGGTCGCATCAGCAGCAGCTGTATGCCCTGCAGGCATAACAGTGCAAGCCAAAGGCCCCACTGGCTGCCCCAATATGGGGCAAGCCCTGGCACCATGAACACATGTAGGCACCCCCCACCTCACTGCAGTGTGTGCATGAGCAGGTAGTCTCTCCCCTACTGCACAGCTTATATGAGAAGGTAGGCACCTGCCTCACTGCACAGCAGAGGTGGGTTGGTGGCTTTCCCCTCCCCCCCCACAACCTACCATACACAGGCTCCTCTGCTGCACCATGCCACTCCATGGGGCACGCACATAAAATGAAAGCCAGAGGGGAAGCCCGGAGCCCCTGACTGCTGCAGATGCCAAAGCAATGGGGAACAGTAGGTCAGTGGGAGGTCATGGACCACAGATTAACTCTCCTGGCAGGGCACATGCAGCCCGTGGGTCACCAGCTGAACAACCACAACCTAGGTGAAATAGGATTGGTCTTTGGAGACACCTAAACACTGCACATTGGAAAAAATGGGAGAACCCTGTGATGAATTATGCAGGGTGAAATAGCACCTGGCTCTGGAGGTACACAATAAAAGAACAAAACTGTGAATCTCCACAGACAAAACAGTATCCGTCCCCGTGCCTGGTCACGGTACCTTGGAATGAGTAGAGGCTAGTTAGGAAATGCCTGAGTGGAAATGCCAGATTTGAGCCAAAGCATAAAAATACATTTTTTAAATACGCAAACTCATTTAAAACATTTTCCTGATAGGGTTTTAAATTTAAGATTTTTTGAGCTTACATGAAAGGTGGCTTTGACGTATGTATGTACGGCAGCTCCTGAAGACCCTAAATTATCAGGAGTCATTAGAGGGTTGGATGATAACTGGCTGCCATCCTGAAGCCATTCGTTGTATCTCAAGCTGGACATTTTAATTCTTTTATTCGGATCCACTGTAAGAAGTCCTAATAGAAATATATTAGACAGACTTAATCTATAAGCTATTATGTATCCTTTTAATACTATGGATAAATAACAAAATGCGTGTAGAAAATCAACATCAAGTCAAATATTCAATACTCACATACGTAATAAAGTATAGACTACAGCCCAGACCCACAAAAAGGCTTACTTGTCTAAAGGGGGACCAAAGTTTGGTACCTAAGTTCTGCACCTTCAAATCCCCATATAAGCCTTAGGGTACAGATGGACAGATCTCACTTGCAATATTGAAAAGCTGCTGTACAGTCATAAAGGTAGTTTAAAACACTCCCAGGTGTGACACAATAATACTTGTGGGGAGCAAGAACTATTCTGTATTGTTTAGTTCTGCCTGTACAGGTTGTTGGTCCTTTAGCATCCTGAAATGCAGTACCTTTCCCACCCTGCCCCACTTTTCTCAAGCACCCTGGCTATAGCTGCTGAGCTCCCTGTATGCCCTGTGCCAGCACTGTTGGTCCTTGGGATTCCCTGGGCATTATCGCTGTTAGCAGTCAGGGTGCTACTGCTGCCTGCACTCTGGCACTTATTCGCCCCACCAAACCAGAAGACCTGGAATTGGGAGACTCCATGTTGGGGAGAGGAGTTGCCACTGCTGCAAGACCCCCACCCCTGCTAGATTTCCACATGTCTGCTGCCGGTACGCAAGCCACAGATATCAGCTTTAGTTTCCCACCTCCTCCCTTTTTGCTCCCACAGCCCCAAGAGAGGAGATGGAGAGCAGCATTGACAGTCCTGTCAGGGCAGAGAGGGAAGAATCCCAGGTGGCTGCATCTCTCTGCTGAGTCACATGGCTGGAGGGCCTGCTGTCACAGGGAGCAGTGATATACTGAAGCCCTCTAGCTAGGGCTGTATGCGTGTTCCACAGCTGAAGCACTACGTCTCTGAAACATTTCCAAAACCAAAGCATTTCAAAGGGTACATTTGCTTCCAGCCTTAGAAACAGAGGCACAATTCGAACTCCACCTTTACAAAGGCAAGTATCACTAACATGACTAAAATTAGCTGGCATTTCAGGCCACACTCCAGGATTTTAGATCCTCCTACTCTCCCCCAGCAAGCCACATGACTCCACATAAGTCACAGAAAAACAGAGCAGGGATTCCCCTGCAGCCCATCAGTCAAGAGATTGGGGGACTTGCCCAGGGTTCTAAGCCACACTCACTCAGAGAGGGTTTGAACCTATATCTCCCACTTCTAAGGTACTTTAACAACTAGACCATGGGCCAGCGATTGCCCAGAGCATCCTCCAGGCCTTGGTGTTCTACTGGGCAGCCAAGAAGTGAAGATATATAAATTGGAAAGACAGCAAGCAAGAGGGAGCTTGGCTGTATGTCTCAGTAGGAAGCCCTGGAAGGGAGGGGGTCACAGGGCCAGAGTGGAAGGGAGGGAGTTTCTTCCTGACACCGGTGTTCATTTTGCATTTAACAGACGTCTGATGTAATGAACAGACTCACAGAATCATAGGGTTTAAAGGGATCACAACTTCCATGTCATTCAGTCTCCTGCACAAATTTGTAAATTATCCCTGTCAACTGCTTATCTAATCTTCTCTTGAAAACCTTCAGTGAAGAAACTTTCCCAACTGGGCAGTCTATTTCACTGCCTTACCATTCTAACAGTAAGGAAACTTTTTTCCTTAAATCTAATCTAAATCCACTTTGCTTCAATTTAAAACCACTGCTTTATGTTCTGCCCTCTGCTGCAAGGAAGGAAAGTTCTTCTTCTTCTCTATGAGAGCCTTCCAAATATTTGAAAACTGCTATCAAATCCTCCCTTAATCTCCTTTTCTCCAAGCTAAACATACCTAGCTCTTTCAAGCTTTCCTCATACAGCTTGCCTTCCAGTCCTTTTACCAATTTTGCCTCCTACTTCTGAACCCTCTCTGGCTTCACTACTTCCTTCTTAAAAACGTGGAGACCTAACCATAGCACCAAAGAGGGACCATACTATAACCTCTCATATCTTACAAATAATACTCCTATTGACAAAGACCAAAATTATATCTGCTTTTTGGCAACTGCGTCACATACCTGACTTGCAGTGAGCCTATAATCCTCCAAAACTCCCAGATCCTTCTCAGCTACACTGACTGCCTGGCCAGTTATCTCCCCTACCATGTTTGTGCATTTTGTGTAACAAAACTGTTTGCACTGAACTTCATTCTTCTGACCCCAACCCTGCACTCCAATCTATCATGAACATTTTGAAATCTACCCCTTTCCTCTAAAGTGTTATGCAACTCCTTCTCAGTTTTGTCATGTGCAGACTTGAACAGGAATTTCTCTATTGCCTGGCCCCCAAATCATTCAACACATTAAACAGGACTGGATGCAGGGAATGCTCCTTGGAAACCTCTTGGCATTCTGACATCTATTATTTACAGATCCCTTTACTTGCATTTTTAAGCCAATTATGTATCTTCCTAATAGTAATTTTATCTAGCCCATATTTCTTCAGTTTACTTATGAAAATATTGCATGAAACTATATGAAAAGCCTTACTAAAGCTCAAGTACACTATGTCTACTGCATTCCCTTCAGCTACCCAATCACTGATTGGGTTGAAGAAGGAGATTAAATAGGAATACACCAATGGTGCTCTACCTTTCAGCTCTGCAAGCTGGAAGAGTGGCATAGTGTTGCCACAGGAACCTAATCTGGTACCAGATCTGGCATGCCTGGCCTGATCTGGCCTGGCCAGAGTCTGATCTGCTGCACAGGGCTGGCCTGGCCTCCACTGGGGCCCTATCTGGTGCAAAGGGCTACTGGCAGGGGTGGGCAATTATTTGGGTTGGTGGGCCACTTAATGAGTTTTGGTTATCTGTCTAGGGCAGGGGTGGGCAAAATGCGGGCCGGGCCACATATGGCCCGCCAGGCCATTCTATCCGGCCTGCGGGGCCCCTAAAAATTTTTGAAAATTAATATTTATCTGCCCCTGGCTGCCTGTCATGCGGCCCTCAATGGCTTGCCAAAACTCAGTAAGCGGCCCTCTGCCCAAAATAATTGCCTGCCCTGGGTCTAGCGCTACACTTCTCTCTCTCTCCTTCCTCCCCGCACCCCTTTCCCTTTCTTCCAGGACCACAACCAGCGTGGAAGCCTGACCCTGCCTACAGCTTTAGCAGGCCCATTCCCCCCACACAGCCGGAGTCTGCCTGCCCGCAGCTTTAATGCCCTCCACCCCAATTCTGGACCCAGCAGACTGCTGGCTGCATCCACAGCTGCCCCCAAATGGCCATCAGCTTCCAGGTGGCAGCTCCAGGCATGTGGAAGCGGGGGCAGGGCATGCTACAGCTGCGGACTGCAATCAATACAGAACCGTGAACCCACCCACTACCCTCCACGCCCAGAGCCCCAACCTGGAAACTGCCAGCTACAATTGGGCAGCTGTGGACCATCTGCCAAGTCCAGATTTGGGGGGGCCCAGGCAGAGAGACAGAGAGAGAGAGAGAGAGAGAGAGAGAGAGAGAGAGAGAGAGAGAGAGAGAGAGAGAGAGAGAGAGAGAGAGTGTGTGTGCCTGGGCCAGAGCCACCACCCACCTGCAGGGCAGATCTACTGAGTTAGTGGCTTGAATCTGGTCTGCAGGCTGTATTTTGCCCACCCCTGGCCTATCCAGCCAGGATCTGATTTGGCACATGGGGCTAGCCCAATGCATGGCCCCAGTCCCAGTTCTGGCCTCACATATCAGATTGGGCCCTGTACCAGCTTCTGCCCACAGCACCAACCCACCTGCAGGATCATATCATGTGGCCCGCAGGACTTAGAAATTCAGTGGCAGGAAATCTGGTAATTACCCTTGCTTCCCCACTGTCATATTTCTGGACTTGTGGAGAGCCCCACAGGCTGGATGATGTGGCTCTCTGGGCCCAATCTAACCCACAGGTCAGAGACTGAGCTCCACTGGAAAAAGACAGTAATAGGAGCAGAAGCAGGAACCAGAGCCCAGAGTTCCCTCCTGTTCAGGCCAATGACCATCATGAAACTGTTATTGTGCTAAACCAAGCTGAAGATTTAGAAAGCTGAAAGCAGGGAGGAAACAGGCTCATGACTTCTTTGTTTAGGGGTGTCAAACTCATTCTGTCCTGTGATTCAGATAAGCATCCCTGAACCAGTCTGCTGGCAGAGTGGGACAAACCTCCTCTGGAACAGCTGAAATGCTCGGTCCAGCCCACACACTGCATACAGCAGCCCTTGTGGTGGCATGGGGCACACGCAACATGTGCATGTGGCCCCAGGGGCCAGTATGGGGAATGCACTGCCCATGGTTGCCTGTTGTGTGCCCTAGACCTCCCCCGTGTTGCCTGTAGTGCACAGGGTCAGGACTGGTGCATGGGGTCAGTCCAGTGACACACAGGCTGGATTGTAAGGCTCCGCAGGCCAGATCTGGCTCGTGGGTCTTGTGTCTGACACCACTGCTCTAGTCCAATGATTAAGTCACTCATGCTGGGGAGAAGAGATCTGCATTCCAATTAGAAATGCACTAATAGAGATTTTTGGGGCTGATACTGATAGCTGATTTTTAAGGAGGCATATCAGGTGATACCAATCCAATTTCCAATACGCAGCTCTTCAGCTTGAAGAGCTGCATCCAGCTGGTCAGTCTGGTTTGGTGGAAGGGGAGGGAAGGAGTGTGTGGGGGGGCAGATCAAGGGCCCTGCGGTGAGGGAAGGGAATGGGGCTGAAGCTGGCCAGCCGGGGTGGGGAGGGGCACGGAACAGAGCTGCAAGCAGTCTGTCTGGGGGCCAGGGAACATATGCCCCCCAGATCTGCGCAGCACGGGGCAGGCTGCAGCTGTGGGCTGGGGCCAGGGTGGCGCAGCTCAGCGGGTGGCATCTCGTCTGGTGCTATCTGGCGGTTCCTGCCGTTGTCCAGGAGAGCATGGGGAGGGGTGTGCCCCCAGATTTGCCCAGCTGGGAAGAGCCTGGCTCCAACCTGCCTTGCCCTGCGCAAATATGGGGGCATACCCTTCCCTCCTCCCCCCATGCCCTCCTGGACAAGTGGTGGGAGCCACCAGACAAGCACCAGATGGGCTGTGCACAGAGATGGGAGCCACACCCACCTTCCCACACCCTCCAGACGAGCCGCGCTTCCGTCCTGCACCTACCCCAGCCCCGGCTGGTCAGCCCCTGCCCCAGCCCCAGCCCTCCCTCACTGCAGGGGCTTTGTTCTACGCCCCCGGCTCCCCCCACCATGTCCCTTTCCCCTCCCTTTCCTCTTCCACCACACTAGACTTACCAACTGCATGCAGCACTCCACGCTGCCGGCTCTGCTCCTCACTGCCTACGTGCTGCACTGCACCTGCACGCACATGCAGGCATTTATCAGACAAATTGTCGGCTGCATCGGGCCAATTTCTGATACAGAAAATTTTCTTTATATTAGTGCCGATCTGATATCAGACTGATGTATCGTTGCACCTCTAATTCCAGTCTCTGCCTCAAGGACTGTTTATGTATTTTATCCAATCAGTGCCTAATGTAAAGCATATAAACATTATTCAAGGCAGGGACTAGAACACAGGTCTTCCTTCTACCAAGTGAATGTCCAATGCATCGGACTTAAGCCTGAGGATTCCACATTAGGACCCAATGCTTAAAAATTAAGGGTTTCATTTCTGGGCACTACAAGACATAAGTCTCTTTACAGATCTTATCAAAATGGAATCAGGCGAGGAGAAAGTAGAAGGATTGTGGGTTAGGTTACATGGAGGTCAAGGAGAAAGTGATTTGGTGGTAGGGGTCTGCTACAGACCCCCACACCAAGGAGAAGAACTAGATTTGGGGCTCCTGAGGCAGCTCTCGGAGACCATAAAAACTACGGAGGCGGTAGTCATGGGGGACCTAAACGACCCAGACATCTGCTGGGAGACGCATACAGCAAAGTCCCATCGTTCACGCAGGTTCCTATCCTGTGTACAGGACCTCCATCTGACTCACGAAGTACATGGTCCCACTAAGGGGAATGCCTTATTGGACCTGGTATTGGCAACGGGGATGACATGGTAGGAGACCTACAGATCAGTGGTCACCTGGGGGACAGTGATCACCAAATAACAGAATTCACCATAAGTCGTCGAGTGGGTAAGGTAACTAGTAGGGTGAAAGTGCTAGACTTTAGGAAACCTGACTTCAATGAACTCAGGCGTTTAGTCAAGGGCACACTGCAGAGTAAGAGTTGGAAAGATTTGGGGCCCCAGGAAGGCTCCCAACTCTTAAAGCTGTGCCTTAAGGAAATGATCCTTCGGGCACAGAGGGAGACAATCCCGATGCGGGGAAAAAGGGGGAAAGGGGTCAAGAGGCTTCCTTGGCTGACCAGAGAAATCCAGAGCAGTCTACGGGCAAAAAGGGGGGCATAAAGAAAGTGGAAACGGGGAGAGATTACTAAAGAGGAGTATACCTCCTCTGCTCGCGCTTGTAGGGAGGCAGTTAGACAGGCCAAAGCTACCATGGAGCTGAGGATGGCATCCCAAATTAAGGATAACAAAAAATTGTTTTTTAGATATATAGGGAGTAAAAGAAAGGCCCAGGGTGGAATAGGACCTCTACTAAATGCGCAGAAGCAATTGGTGACGGACAGGGGGGACAAGGCTGAACTCCTCAACGAGTTCTTTGCCTCAGTGTTCCTAAGCGAGGGGCAAGACAAGTCTCTCACTGGGATTGTAGAGAGGCAGCAGCAGGGCGCCAGACTACCAAGCGTAGACCCTGAGATGGTGCAGAGGCACTTGGAGGAACTGGACGCCTTTACATCAGCAGGCCCGGATTAGTTCCATCCGAGGGTACTGAAGGCACTGGCTGACGTCACTGCACAGCCACTGGGGGGGA